GCCTGGTATGTTAAAATGTCTAAGATATATTACCGTCTTATAAAAATAACCAAAAATAAAAATACCAGAAAGTGTAAGTATAGTTTCGTCAAGTCATATATAATCCAAATATGAAACTGGTTTGGTGATGATGGATGATATGTTTTCACTTTGTAACATGGACATATAAATATGACGTGTTGTGCTTTTGTAAAGCTAAATCTAACCAAAATCTTGAGCTAAATTAGTATTGAGATTAAGTAATGTGTCTTGCAGAAGGAAGACACGTTCAATTATCGTCAATAACTTAGTAGCGACATTTAACACCTTCGCAAAGTTCTGTATTTACTTTAAGTAGTACAGTGTAATTATGCAAACACAGTTATGCAGTTGCAAATGTGTCTCAAAATTTTTGAACAAATTATCAAAATTATCGTGCGTAGTAGATGGATTTGCGGCTGGGACTGATGGCAATATTGATAGTAGTAATTGTAGAGGAGATAGAAGTGATAAGTGGGTGTGATCGAGTTTGGATCATGGAGATCAGATTTTGGTAGTCTCAGATTGTAATTAAATCTTGCACTTACTGCCTGATCCTTCAATTCTTGCACATTTTGGTTTTTTTTTTTGCTACTTTATAGGATGTTTTAACTTGTTCATTAACTTCTGCTTCAACTTCAGCTCCCTTCTCGTTTTTATATTTTCTTAAATTATCAACTTCCACATCGTTTTTCATGATTGTTCCTTCAGTGAAAATATATGGTTTGAAATAACTCGAAAAATTTAGGCTGAAAATATTTTTATTTTTGAAAAAACAAAAAACGAATGAAAATTTTTAGTTTAGGCACGCTGAATTGTTTGTTAGCATTTTCGAGTTTAAAATTTCCTTGTCATTCGAGCGAATTTTTGTAACCTATAAATAGTGCATAATTTCAGGCTTATAAATACCTTTTATGCAAAAATGTGGATAATTCTAAATGTAAAATGTCATTAGTCTTTAGCTTTAAAAAAAGAATTCCAGAGAGAAGAGTCCCAATCTGTTTGTACAAGATTAACAGTTTGATGATAACCTTTAACACTTATTTCTTCACTGAATTATTTGTAACTTAATATTACACTTTCAGGCTTTTTAGATCCAACTTCAGAACTATTGCTTAAACTTATCTTTCTTGCGACTATGTGTACTTAATGGCAATCTCACAGAATTTTTTACGTTGTTGAAAATCACAGCACTGTTGACAAAAAAGTATTTCTTCTTCAGTAGTGAATGTTCGCTTCAAAACGATATTACTTGACAGCCTTACCTTCCTCTCTTATCAAAATTGTTTGCATTTTGATGGTTCTGATCAGATGACGTCCTGAAAGAGAGTTTGCCACTTTTTCCATAGCATTGTGATGCTTTCCTGATTTGTCGCTGTTCTTGGTAGTAACCATCACGTACCGAACTAAACATGAAACCTGTTAGCGTTGACCTGAAATTAAATTTGATTCAGAATATTCATTTTCGTTTCAAAAATTGTGTCTTTGTGTTACAAACGTGTATTCTTATAATTATTCAGTAAAAATTGTTTTTACATCGCGAAATTGACAAAAGAATAATCGACATAAATTCGCGTATACTTTCAAAGTTTGCTATATTTATGAATAAAAAAAGAAGAGATTTCGTTTGACAATGCAGTTTTTTATTCTTAACAACGTGGAAAACTTATGACAAAGAATGAACTTAAATTCTTACGGAAATAACGTAAAGTTTTTAATCATTTCTATGAAAAATGACAAAGCCTGCGGATTTCTCATAAGCGATTGGCACTATACTTTTCGAAAAGAGTTTGTAACCCAAAGAGTAAGCAGTTATTTATTCATGAAATTAACGGATATGAATGTACTTACTTGATCTCTTAACCCTTGACATTTTTATTTTTATCTTCACTTCATTCAGACAATAATATCTGAACTTTTTGTTTTAATATTAGGACAAAAAATCTTTGTTGATCAAGAAAAATAGAATTTATTGTATTTATATATTCATTTCAAAATTAGTCATAATTGTGGTCAAATTTTTTCTTCTTTAATGCACTTCTATTCTACGCAAATGAAGGTAAAGCAACTCACAGTGTAAAACTGTCTGGTAATCACAAAACTGTTTTTTGGAATTGTTTCGGGATTTAATACTTCAGAAGTCCGATTCATACTCTTACTGTTACCCTCACTTTTATTGAATGCTACGCAATATATTACAACCTCCGCTACTAAATTTTAATGAGTTTTTGTACTGTTACATTGTTAAAATATGGCTTTTACACTGTTAATGAAAGAATAGGTATGCTGTTTTGAGCGCGAAAAATGGAATCGGGAAATAGAAATAAAGCACGTTTAACATGTAAACAGAAAAAATAACTGTAGCTTACCAAGCGCACAAGGTATCAGAGGCTTGATGTACCGCGGCATCAAGCAGAACAAATTCAGTAGTTACTGCATCTGCTGTTGAAACAAAAAAATCTGGACGGAATCCGAAAGATCGATACTGAACGTGAAAGGCTCCAAAATCTTCCGAAATCTTCCGAACGGCTGATCCATCTTTTATTTGATTTACAGCACTTTTTAGATAGTTATGTAACGAATCCGTCAATGCCCATCGTTGCTTCTAAGTTCAAAGAAACAGAGCTAAGATTAAGCATTAAAAGTTCACAAATTAAAAAGTATTTATTACAAATAAAATGACTTTCTGAATAACTACGCAAGATTTTTATCACACTGTTTGTTTTCCCAGTGACAACGAAAACTTTTCAAACGTCCAAAAATTTTTTTATATCTAGAGACGTATGCTTTCTTTGATCTGTATAAACATTACACAACTTGATTTGACTAACTGACCTGACTAAAATTTATTTTCTAGTTTTTGGAAATAGTTGAAAAGATTTAATTTGCAAAAAATGCAAAGAGCATCATATCTTCCCATAATTACTTTCAACCGTTCAGAAACAATTTATTTTCTGTATACAAAAATGTCTGAAAATTATTGTCTGAAACTAATGAAAAGGAAATTTTTGGTTTATTTTTAACAATTAAGTAAGTTTTCACGTTGTAATAGATTTCTGAAAAATTGTTTTTAGCAATATTTAAAGTAAATGCAAAAAAGTGGACTAAATATTACTCGGCATGTTCAATTACTACTACGCATTAGCTTTGTGTTTCATGCCATTACATTCGCTTACATCAGGTAATGCAAGGATGAATTTCCTGAAATCACTTCGCCTCTCAAAAATCCTCCGATATATTCTTTCCGCGATGTCATCCTTTGCTTTATCCATGCATTCTTTTACAATTTGTCGCTGCACTGTAGAAAGCGCTGGGATTTTTTGGCTTTGGATAGCTGTACTTTGCCTACCAAAAATATGCCTTGTACGAACTTTTAGATAAAATCCAAAAATACTTACTTTATTTTATTTGTCAGCTTGAAATTAAAAATTATAATACTTTTAAAATTGAATTCTGTACATTTTTCAGAGTGTCTTTTTTGCAAACTAATTAGCACAAAAATAAAGCATCTTGAGTGGCGCAAGAAGATTACATTAATTCAGCACACTTCTTTAATAGATACTTGGCATGTGACTAACGTTAAGATTTAATGCTGCTTCTCAGTCCTATTTTAACAGATTAAAAATTAGTTCTGCTCAAGAGAATCAATCTTCACTCTGAACTTTTTACTATTAAAATTGCAAATTTGTTTATTAAAGTAGTATTTAAAAGTCACACATCAGTCGTGCTATTTTGAGATTTTATACTCATGCCTGGATTCTATTTAATTATTTGCTTTAATGTAAAATCCGAAAATTTTTTTTTGCATATCAGTTGTGCTTCTATATTTTTTGCATTATGATAAATATTTTTAAATAGCTTAATATAAATTATCTGGAAATGCTAAAATTAGCGAAAAATTTCGGATAAAAATCAACAGATTTTATACTCATGCCTATTTAATTATTTGCTTTAATGTAAAATAAATTTATTTATTATTAATCTAAAATAGCACAACTGATATGCAAATTCTGAATACTAACTTATTAAGCACATTAACAATTTGCAGAGTAAAAAGTTTCGATTTGATACATCGATTGAAGGAATCGGTATTTTGAGCAAATTTAACTAAAATGAAGTGAGCAAACTTTATAATGATTGCAGGTTGACTATTCCTCCGTGTGGAAAAATTATGTGAGCTGACAGCAGCTGTGTTGTCGGATACAATTTTAAACTGACTTTGCTTTCTTTTAGATTCACTTGACTTCGCATTTCCCATTACTTCCTACTTATTTTTTTTTGTAAATATGCTCTATAATGATAAACCACAAAAATGGTAATGACGCTGAAAAAATCAAAATTGTGATTATTCATGTTGAACGATCACAGAAATTTCGTTCAAAGACAACAGCATTTTTAACAGTACTCTCTGTTTTTTATATTATTAAAAGTGGTTTTTTAACGACTATTTTTATCTGAACTCAGAAAGTGTGAAATAGCCAGATTAAAAACAGTAATTTTCTTTCATGAAATAGGAAACTGTCAATGAGATAAGTATCAATTTTCAATTCTACTACAGTACCTTTATATTAATGTTTTATTTTGCCACACAGAATAATAGCAAACATAGAGAAAGCACTCATTTTGGAGAAGCACTCATTTCAAATATTAAGTATTAAAACAAATCTGAATAATTATGTTAATTAAAGTTTTTTCTGAACCAAAAATTAAAATTCGTTTGAAATCGGGGAATGCTCTGTAGAGCGTTTCAAAAATGATTCTAAATATGAGACTCTGAAATTATAATGAAATAATGAAGTAGCTGCTTTCATTAACTACAAAATTTTGTGATGCAAAAAGTTTAAAAAAATATGGCTCCACCTTTGACATAGTACTCAATAATAATTATTTTCTGTAAAGTAGTTACATTAAGTAAAAATTTAATTCATGCCTTAAGTAGCTACAAGTGTTGCAATTTTGTTAGTGAAATTATGAATGAAATGTGTAGGCGCAAATGCAGAAAATGCAGTAGTTGACAAAGTTAGAAATAAGCAATTAATTTATGAGTAACAGCAAAGCTGAAAAAATTGAAACCGAAAATTGTAGAATTTCGAACTTTTAAAGCTCAGTATTTAAGCAAAGTGCGAAGTAAGTCTATTCTCTTCAAAGTTGAAGCTTTTTCATTTTCCAAACTACTGTCCTGATGTTCTGTTAATCTGTTTGCGAACTGAGTAGTTGGTTATTTGTCGATTGACAAATAAAGAAGTATCGCAGCAAGAAATAGAAAATAATAATAATTGGATTTTTATCACTCATATAATACCATCACATTATTAGCTAGGAGTTACTTTGAATCGGAAACTTTTTTACGTATTAGATTTATCAAGTTCGATATAACTTATGCAAAATTATTAAGATTAATTAATAAAATTAATAAACTCACAGAAAGATGAATATTTGGGTAAAGAATGCAGGATGTTTTTTGAAAAGTATGCTTAGACTTATTTGATTAAATATTTCGCAAAAAATACCAGTTTATGCCCTGCTATCAAATTTACTTACATTATAATTTTTCATTAACTCCAAAGTTTCACAGCAAAACTAAGAAAGAAATAAGTTAACGATTTGCTAAATAGACTGGATATAACTTCTTGAAAACGTGCTGACCACATTTGAATTGTAAACTTTGAATTCATTAACTTCTGATCATATCAGTAAAGACAAGAACGAAATTTTTGACTTCAACTCTTGAATGCATTGAAGTTGAAAGAATCGTTAATATACTTACTATTGCAATTGCGTTAATAGTAAAACTTTATTAGTTAGTAACTAATGCCAAGCACTGCTAGAAAATATAAAAATTTTCTAGCATAATGCTTTTGGAGAGTTTAAAACAGCATAAACAAATATATTTTGCTTGCTTATTTGATATGATACAAACAATACTAACAGTTACTGTTCTTGACTTTATTGTACTGCCTAATTTTCAGAACAATATTTTGTTTAATAGTCAAATAAAGTATTGTAACTTCCAAATCTATCAATTACTTTTCCATTAATCTTACAAATATTAACACTGAAAGAATAACAACGGATTTAAGCATTTCAGATTGAAGAGTTTTATGAAACTTTTTAATCAAACTCATTGACTTGAATACTACTAAGTGTGTTTTAATTTGTTTGTTGATTATATCATGAATACACAAAATAGTCTGATTTCACTTTCATCCTAGTTTGATCGTCCTACAAACCAGCTTTATTGGCGAATTTTAATACCTTAATTAAAGTATTTTAGTATGATTTGATTTAGAGCTAAATATGACTACGTAGATATAAGAAAGGAAAAGGCTGAGCAGAACTCGTATGAATTGCGTGAATAAATCTGTGTTAGAAATAAATTCTCAAGCAGTAATAGCATTTATTTCAAGAACTGAATGCGAAGTTTGAAATGAGCGGAAAATGGACGATTACTTGAGAATGATTGAAAAAGAGAAAGGCAAGTACGAAGGACGAATTACTGATAATTCTTCAAAACAGTCGTGGTCCTTGAACCTCAGTAACTCAAAATTTCTACAATGAACTACTTTCTACAATCTTCAATGTCCATTTCTGTCTCTTTCTGATGCAATAATCAAATTTTTGTGACAAAAACATTGCTTACGGTGTGTCTGCAACAATTAAATTACAGCGATAAAAACTATTGCTATAAAAATTGTCAAAAATCAAACGAATAATTTTAACCAAATTATTGTTTGGATTGAAAAGTAAAGTTTATGATTTTTATAAACTATTCACAATTTATGGAATTTTTTATACATATCAAAATTACTGCTCTAATTTAACTTTATGATTTCAATATCAAACTTGCGTAGATCAAACTAAAACACAAAAGAAAAATAAATGATTTGACAGTTACTGTAAGCATCTGTAGTCGAAGTAACTTGGAAAGCATTATTGAAAGTTATGCTATTGTGATGATTGAGGTACTAAATACTCCAAAAACAATTTTTTTTTTGATGCTCCTTTTTCTATCCATTACTTGTCTTGCTTCTCTTATTTCTTGCAGTGTACTAAAACGACAGTTCCATCCATAAATTTCAAAGTTATATGCGTTATAATTATACACTTTCATCATTTTTTTAAAAATATTTTGAATTTTCAAATTATTTGAAAAAATTCTTATATCCGAAATTTAATTCCTGAATAATAAAAGTGCATTAATTTATTTTCTTTACAGTATAATTATTCACCTTCTTGACATTTCTGCTGTAAATATTTTTTGCTGTAATAGAGCACAAGCATGTAAAATTATGCAAAAAAAAATTCAATATAATAAGGAATTTTCATTGTAGAAAGTAATTACCCATGCAGTTCTCTCAATCTGATAAATTTGCAAATAAATCTATTAATCAATTTGATTTACAAAAATTTTTATATTTTCAGATTTCGTATATCTTACTAACAGTATACCGCTATCGATATTATATAAAACATCCATTTACTTAAATACAAAAAAAACTTGAGAAATAAAAAGGTTTTTCGAAAAAATACTTACTGCAAAGTATTAAACAAACTAAAACTTCAAATAGGATTGATTTCATTTTTGATTCGATAATTTAATTGTGATTGATCAATTCTAGATAAGTTTTAATTAATTTAAAAAAGATTGCAAAAATCACAGAAAGTTTAAGCTATGCTAAGGAATGGCAAAAAATATTCAGAAGGATGGAAATATCACAAAGTGTGTGAGGCGTAATAGCAATTATAAAAACATTCTGCCTATGCTTTACACAGAATCAAGTTATGACCTATTAATCCTGAAGTAGTTGTTTCGGAATAGAAAAGTAAGCGCCAAATCAAAAGTAATAAAGCCAAGTTGATAGCAACTTTTTGTCGTAGCTATCAAAATATTTATAATTGATCACAGAGCACAAAGCTAACACAAAAACAATTCGTTTCTGCCACTGAAATAAAGTATTTCAATCGGTTTTACGATGCTTTTAAAGTATTGCCATTCGACGTTATATTTTTTCACGACAGATTAGAAAAGAAAACAGGAAAATGGTTTACTTAATTTTCAGCTTAGAACTGATTCAGTAAAATTCTGAGCTGAAAATGAAATACAGAAAAGAGGTAATCGATTTGGTTTTATCAATTTATTCATCCTTGGAAAATACGGTAGTGATGATCAAAAGATGCAAAAGAAGAGTTTGATATGTAAGAACTAAATCGAATGTAGAAGCCACGTAGTAAGAGATGATTCGGAAGAATAACCTTTAAATTTGAACTAAAGTGTGAGTGAAAAATTTTAAGGTGTAAATGAAATTGCGACCTAAATTGAACCAAAAATAAATTATAAACTGATGTCGATAGCAGCGATCGAAGAAATAAGT